AGCCTCTTTTATGTCCATACAAAAACATATTGTTATTTGAATTTTCTGAAAAAGTTGGTTAAAGGCAAAACATATGTCATTTTTCAATTTTCAAGGACTCTTCAGCTATTGGAGTGACCAAACTCTGGCGGCTATTTGACCACTGAAACAAGGCGCCCTCACCTTCTTCAATCGTAAATATCTTGAGTTCTGTTCAAGAAAGATATATTCATTGAAAGCAAAATAAATGGAAGCGTTCTGATGATACCAATAACTCCACATGCCCAAAAATTGACGAGCGGCTGATTCTAACGCGTCGTGACACATTTGATGATTACTATTTGAAATCAAATGAAGGGCTAGAAGGGAAAGGTTGTGCGTACACTGGACTCTAGTGAGACTGGTGTTTTCCCATCATTTGTGGGTCTACGGTGTGCACCAGTGCAGCGAAAGTTTTACTATTTTTAGAGAGGTCATAGGACGGCAGCCGTGACAGTGCCCCATCTAGGATATTAATATTATTATAAATAATTCATGTCGGGAGATAGATAGATAGATAGATAGATAGATAGATAGATAGATAGATAGATAGATAGATAGATAGATAGATAGATAGATAGAGATAGATAAATAGATAACACACACACAAACACACATACACACTCACACACACACGCACACACACACCCACCCACACACACACACACACACACACACACACACGCGCGCGCGCGCACACATACACACAGATGTTTTTAGTATAAATTTACACATTGTTCTCGTTCGTGTCCGCAGCAGGAGGTGGTCAGACCAGTCAGAGACGATGCCCCAGTCACACGCTCTCGCAAACGTAAGAGGGGAGCGGAGGCTTCAAGTGACGCCACTGACAACTCGCATGTCCAAGACATCCATGAAGCGCTTAATGAAGCTCCAGAGTCGAAGTTAGATCCTGGTACTGTTGCTGCAGAGGGTCATCCCTCTGAAAAACTCGTGGTACACAATGTGCCTGAATCTGGCAATCTGTTAGTCGCAGCCTCTCCGGAGATGGAGAGGTTCCTGAGTATCTGCCCTGATGCAGTAGTAGTTGATGTCGAAAGTAATCAAGGTAGTGGTCAAGCTTGTGGATCCAGCGGTGAAGCCTGTAGCCAAGCTTCTGGGTCGAGTGGTCAAGTATGTGTTCAGGGTGCCGGGTTTGGTGATCAAGCTTCCGGGTCCAGTGATCAAGCTTTTGGATCTACTGATCAAGCTTTTGGTCCCAGTGGTCAAACTTTTGGGTCTACTGGTCAAGCTTCTGGATCCAGTGGTCAAGCTTTCGGGTCCAGTGGTCAAGCTTCTGGGTCCGATGGTCAAGCCTGTGGTCAAGCTGCCTTGTCTAGTGACCAAGTTTTGTACAGCAATGGGGCATACACCTCGGATATGTACACTGCAAAGAGGAGCGAGGACGGCACATTGTGTATAACACTGACAACGAGTCTGGTGACCAAAGCGGAGGGGTCGGAGGATGGAAAGTACATGAAGGACTTGGAGGAGAACCACAGGTCTGTCGGGTGCTCCGTCCAATCTCCGGAGGGCTCCTCTAAGCTGCCTAACTTCAAAGTCTTGGGATTTCCTGAGTGTAAGTGTACCGTGTGGGCTATGTACAGAGGATTAGGAGGAGGATAAAAAAGGGGGTGGGTGAAGGAACAGGAAGTGGAGATGGTAGGAGGAGGATGAGGAGAGGGGTGAGGAAAATGAGTCAGCTGTTCGGAAAGGGGTGGGGGAGTGGAGGATGGTGGGCAGATGAGAATGAAAGAAAATGAAGGGGGGAAACGAGAAAACACGTGAAAGGGGAGAGGTAAGACATATGAGAGAGAACAATGAAAGGGAAGCACAACTGTAAAGAGAGATGAGCAGATAAAGAGAGGGAGACAGACAGAAGAAGCGGGTTGTGTGATTATAAGCGAATTACTTTCTGTGGGTGGTTGATGAACGCTCTGTGTGGTTTTCTCTTTCTTTCCTATCAAATATATCTAATCTTTGGCGCTTATTTGACCTATTTGTGCTGAAAGTACCCTAAAAAGAAGAACAAGAACAAGAACAACAAGAATAACAACAATAGCATCAGCACCACCAAGAAGAAGAAGAAGAAGAAAAAGAAGAAGAAGAAGAAGAAGAAGAAGAAGAAGAAGAAGAAGAAGAAGAAGAA